GTTTCGAAATCTTCCCACTCTGAAGGCTGAATAAAAAAAAGATCGTTTACAGACCCCCGAAACGCCGGCTTCGTGTGGATGAGAGGCTGGTTTGGTGAAAAATTTGTGCGTTTAGGCCAGGGTTCGTCTTTGTGTGGACGGGGCCTAAGTGCACCAGGGTGGAGCCCAGCTCTGACCTACCAGGCATGTGTTTGTGTTTAAGCCCCTGACAACAGAGCCTCATGGATCATCTGGGCACTGAAACCTCTCCAAAACATTAAGGTGGTGGATCCTGTTTTCATTTATTCACTATTGCATTTTTTTAACCCAAATTATACAAGGAAAGTTTTCAGTCATGTTTGCTGCAGTTGGCCTAGTTGTTAGAGCAGTGCGCTTGAGCTCTGAGAAGGTTGCAAGCATCTGGTTCAATCCACATAGTCTGCATTCTGGGTTCTTCAGCAAGACCCTTAAAACCACATTGCAATGTAGAGTAATCACTGCTTTAAAGGCTGATATCATTTTCTAATTATCTCTCAGTTCCAACTTGTTTCCAGGAACTGTACATCATTTATGGTAAATGGTATGTACTTATATAGCGCCTCTTTTCAAGTCAGGAGACTTGACCAAAGCGCTTTACACTACATTCATTCACCCATTCACTCACACACTGATGGTGGCAGGCTACATTGTAGCCACAGCTGCCCTGGGGCTCACTGACAGAAGCGGGGCTGCCGTACACTGGCGCCACCGGGCCCTCTGACCACCATCAGTAGGCAATGCAGGTGAAGTGTCTTGCCCAAGGACACAACGACAATGAAAGTCAGAGCCGGGGCTTGAACCGTCAACCCTCCGATTTCAGGGCAAACTCCCACATCCAATGCCACTGTCCCCCCAGTGGCGTTGGATGTAGCATTTAGGGTTGGTGTTTCACACTTTTTTCTGTCATTCAAGTTGCAAAAACCTGAGTCTTGATGTCTTGTGACATTGTGAGCCAGTTTTCTTCCAACTCAGTCACACCCTTGAGCTGTTATTGTCTTTTTGGCACACCCTGAACAAAAATTTTACCTTACTGTTGCATCAGATACATAAGCCAATAGAAAATGTACACCTGTAAGAAAGACATAAAAAAAAGCATCCTCTTCCTGAACTGCACAGAAGTGAACGAGGGAAGCAGAGGTGAGGGACATGTCTTGTCATTTCTAGAATTTTTTCTTAACTAACCTTCTATGTTTAATCAGAATACAAATTTGCTTTAGAACATTTTTGAGACTTAGTAACCATGGCTATAA